AAATCTAATGTTTAATACACACATCCTGTAGAGGGTCTAGATGTGTCAATGAAAACACTGAAGAACAAAATTAGTGTTTCAGCCACACTTAAAAAAAGTGACTGTCATTGCATTAGAAAACTAAATCTCAAGCCAAGTGGTTTGTAAAACAATATGTTCAATGTTCAAGAGTCAGACAAAAAAGTATTTAGATACTACACCTGCCTTTATACACCCAACAATCAGGTTCAGTGGTTATTAGGAAATCCCAATTTTGAAACATAATTTGTTTGCAGACTCCATTTGATTCAGTACTTTGTATGTAATGTAAATAAATCCACACATCCATCCAAACACATTTTGCGCAAGTAGGACCCACTGTGGCAATATCAATGATGCCACCTTGGAAATTTATAAAACCATCTGTAAATATAAGCTTACAACAAATACTAAAAGAAAACTCAAAAATAATGCCACAGTGGATAATAGTTCAAAACTATGTAGAGCAGTATCAAGAGGAATTATTCATATTTACGGATGGATCAAAGCAGCCGGAAACAGGCCGTACTGGTGCAGCAATTTTTATTCCTCGGTATGAAGCTAAAAAGCTTGATGTGGAGCAGGCACAGGCACTCCAGAGCATTTGTACCAGAGCATTTAAAACATCACCAGTAACTGCATTACAGGTGGAAGCAGGAGAGATGCCGCTACGTATTAGGAGGGTCAAGATCATGTTGGCGTATTGGACTAATTTACAAGGACATAGTATGGTGCACCCCACAAAAGCTGTCTTGCAAGAATGCGCAGAGCATAATAAAAGCAATTTTTACAGTTTTGGATGGGTGGGGAATGCTAAGGCTCAAAATGCAGGTCTCAATCAGTTGCAAGTAGGACCCACTGTGGCAATATCAATGATGCCACCCTGGAAATTTATAAAACCATCTGTAAATATAAGCTTACAACAAATACTAAAAGAAAACTCAAAAATAATGCCACAGTGGATAATAGTTCAAAACTATGTAGAGCAGTATCAAGAGGAATTATTCATATTTACGGATGGATCAAAGCAGCCGGAAACAGGCCGTACTGGTGCAGCATTTTTTATTCCTCGGTATGAAGTAGTAGTCAAAAAGAGGACAACAGACTACCTGTCAGTTTACACTGTGGAGTTAGTAGCAATTTTACTGGCATTAGGGTGGGTGGAAGAAAATAATCAGAACCAAGGTGTCGTTATAGCCTCAGACAGTTTATCAGCATTATTAAGCATTCAATCTGGGAGAGCGTCATGTAGACAAGACCTCATTTACCAAATACTCCACTTGCTTCTCACACTTCATAATAAGGGAATGGCTGTCTCCTTCCTTTGGGTTCCTGCCCATGTAGGGGTGGAAGGAAATGAAGTTGTGGATATGCTAGCAAAAAACTCTACAAAGCATGAAACAATAGATGTACACATACCAATAAGTAGAGCAGAGGTCAAAACCGTCATAAAGCAACATTCATTTAAAATATGGCAGGAATATTGGAACACAGCAGATACAGGACGTCATTTATACAGTATACAGAATCAAGTAGTCACAACCATGAGGAAGGGCAGAAGCCCAAGGGAGGAGATGTTAGTCTCACGTACCAAAAAACATACAGAAACAACTGTTCAGTCTTACCTGTGAAAGATAATACCCCGAGGTCTGTTTTTATTATTGTGCGACGGTTTGTAGATGCCCAAGCTGCCGACGAGTCAGGTATGTTTTCGCCTGTCCTGATATGAGAGTTGCCCGCACCAATATGGCGGCGACGTTGACGTGCGGTCGAGCGGCCAATGAGGAGTCTAGGTATTTATTATGTCTATGGGAACACCCTTCTCGGATATGCGGTCATGACAAAGGAGAGCCGCTCCACTAGAGGGCGATACACTTTAAATCTCATTTGAAACCCACATTCTCGTGTGACGTAATCCTCTCCGTTTCAGTATGGCAGGCAGGCCCTCATCTAGAGATCTCAGTACATCAAGACGATTTATACGGTGTATTCTGAACTAACAGTCGTGTGTATGTGTAGTGATCGACGATCGCTGGCCGTTAAGTGTTTCAGAGATCCTCTCATGGGATTGTCCAGAGAGACGGGCGCTCGGATAGTGTGATTTCGGGGGAGTACTGCGTGTTCCTTGCTGATGTGGACCGTGTTTGGTTGGAGCTTTACGCTTTCTCTGTTTACGAAACTCGTGAGCTCATCAGCGGTCCTTCTTCTGTATTTATGTTTGTATCGGGGGTGAGCGAAGTCAAGTCATTTGGTATGCGGCGGAAGCTGTTCTTTTTTTGTTTTTATATCATAATCAAACACTAAATTTATGTTGGTTTAACGGTAGGTGTTTTTCAGTTATAAGGCTGTTTCTCAAAACCCAGTGAGATGTAAACACTGCTTTGATTTAACGGCATTTAATCTAATAGTTATATATTTTAAAGACATTACATTTTAAGTAGCTTTAACGTTGTTTGATAGTTTTTGTTCATTATTTCCAGTGTGGCTTCATTTTAGTTTAGTCGCTTTACATTAGTTTCTTCCCCCGGGTTTTTAGTTGCCCTGCTAAAGTAGTTTCCACTATAGTAGAACATTGTATATTAGGCGTGCGTGCGTGCGTGCGTGCGTTCGTTCAGTGTTTGTATGACGTTCGGGGTCTTCATTTTATTTTTCTCGTGTGTCTTTGTAGATACTTTGGATGTTTTACTGCTCTCAGGAAAGAAAATGTGCGCTATGAACCGGCAGTGAACGTCAGTTGTGTTACTTTATAAACGCATGTGCACCAGAGCGATGGAGAGTGACTGTAGGATCCCTATGGCATGTCTGAGACCCCGGATACTGGCCCTGCATGCTTTATTCTGGGGCTTAGTGTCCCTTAGGTGAGAAAAATTACAGATTTTTATACAGATTTACCACAAGTGATTCTCTTCTAATGCTCTGTACTGCGAAACAAAGCTTTGATCATGTTCATTCATTTCATGTTTAATTTTTTTTTATCCTTTTTTTTTTCTCTAGAGTGTTTGGAGCAGCACTTCTTAGCGATGAGAAGGCAGCAGGTACTTTAAAAAATCAGGATTTCATCAAAGATTGTTCTTCTAAAGCATATCAAGTTCATAGTTGCAATTGTCCTTATGTTTTTCTTTTGTAGTTGCAGTGACAAAGGCAGTGACAGCGCCATGTTGGCAGCTGGAGGAGTTTGTGGTGGCTAAAGATTGCAGTGCATGCGAAGGTTTGCAATCGGTGAGCGTGTACACACACACAACTGTTCAAAAGTTTGGGGTTAGTAAGATTTATTTTATGTTTTTTAATAAAAATAAAAAAAGTCGTGCTAACCGAGGCCACATTTATTTATTTTTGCAACAGTAGCATTGTGAAATATTACAATTTAAAATAGCTGTTTTCTATTTTAAAATGCAATTTATTCCTGTAATGATTTATGCAATTTTTGCGATAGTGTATTGAGTCGTTTTGTTTTGTCACCATGTTCTAAACAGGAAATTTATTACATTTAATAAAAGTCACAGTAGCTTCCCCAATAGCTACAACTTAAATGTCTGTTTAGTGCTGCATAAAGTTCACATTTAATCGTGGGGAAGTCGTGGCCTAATGGTTAGAGAGTCGGACTCGTAACCCAAGGTTGCGGGTTCGAGTCTCGTACCGGCAGGGATTGTAGATGGGGGGAGTGAATGTACAGTGCTCTCTTCCACCTTCAATACCACGACTGAGGTGCCATTGATCAAGGCACCGAACCCCCAACTGCTCCCCGGGCACCGCAGCAAAAAAATGGCTGCCCACTGCTCCGGGTGTGTGTTCACTGCTGTGTGTGTGCACTTTGGATGGGCTAAATGCAGAGCACTAATTCCTAGTATGGGTTACCATACTTGGCCACATGTCACTTCACTCACTCACTCAGTTTGGATGGCAAAATAGCAAATATTTTTCTGGCTTACAATATTATTAATCCAGCTGGCTAAAAATTAAGAAAAATACACGAATTTAACTCTTTCTCTTTGTTTTCCATTCAGCTGTCGCTCTACCAAAATGGAGGAGCATCTCTTTTGGAAATTTGAGGGCGTGATGCTGGCTCTCACTGTTGTCTTTGCAATAATGGTGGTTGCTAGGCAACGCTCACTTGACCGCCAAGCCTCAGACAAGGTTCGGCGACAGATAGAATCTATTTAGTAGACCGGACTGTACTAAAAGTTAATTGGCCTGTGGCCTGGTGTTATAAACTCTCAACAAAGGGCATAACCCCACAGTCCATGGAGGCTTCCAGACTTTATCACTGGTTTAATCTTACTGGACGCACAAAGACAAAGCTGTGAATGGGCACAATGTGCTCTTTCTCCCCAGACTGACGTTACTTGTGGATGCTGCTTCTGTGCAGGATTTAACTAACTAGATGTGAATCTCAAGATCATCCCTTCAAATCAGCAAAAATTATGCAAGACAGGATTCTAGTCCCTATTTTGTAACAAAAGATGTACAGCTCTGCATATACCTGTTCTTTCAAATGCTGTGAAGGTGGTGTGTGTAGAACAAAATATGGGTGTGTGTGTGTGTTGCATGTTTTCAATCATCCAAAAGCACATCAAGTATTTTGTCAAGCTGAGAATGAACTGTATGTCTGTATGAAAGTCTTGAAAGGAGACAATTCTTCTTGAAAGAAGACATAAAAAATTGTCTTGAAAGTTTCATTAGGATGGGTTTATGTTAGACGGTGAGTTTCAGTGAATATCAAAGTTTTGAACATTAAAGGGGTCATGAACTGCATTTTTTTATTATTTTATAATGTTCTCTGAGATTCAGTTATAATGTTAGTGTGATTTTACATCAACAAACATAATTTAGAAGTAACAGGCTTTTCAAAAACAGATTTTCTATGCTGTTTTTGAGCCTCTCTGTTGAAAGGTCTGTATTTATAGGCGGGGCACATTCAAGATGAGCAAGTAAACACCCACTGCTGTGATTGGCTAACAATTTTGCTTATTAAAATAACAGATGGACAGTGCTGTGATGTACTCTGAAAACAACATAGGTTGTTTGGGTTAAAAAAGTATAAATACTAAGTATATATCTAACGGTCCGGAACAGACGTGGTAAAAGCATGTTTACTCACACTTCTGTGTTACGACATTACTTATGGATCCACTATAGTCAGGCATCATCGTTTACTTTCAGTCTCTGAAAAGCCTGCAGCATACTGTCTTGTTTAAAAAATAAATCCGTAGCAAAGTCAAGCAAGCAACCAGTGTTTCACTGACGCGATCTGGAGCTCTTTGCTAATTTTACCGTTTACACCGGACGCGAGCGGCGCAACGTGACTATAGACAACAGAACCCATTATAATCTGCGATTCTGTCTACACTGGATGCGGCACGGCACGGATTGACACAACAAACCCCCGACAGTAAACTGATGTCCCGCTCTATTTCTGACATACAAACATTCGCGCCGCTTCTGACCTGAAAGACAAATTGATTCGCGACATGACGCAACAACGCTCACGTCCAATCTAAATACGGTGTTAGGATCACAAGGAAGACAATTCAAATAATATTTTTCACAACTTACATTACACAGTGTCTTGTAAACTTGTAATGTCATATGTATGGTACTGTTCGAGTAATTCTGTGTTTGCGTCTGTCTAGTATTTCCTCTCCTCCTCCTACAAGTGTGTATCAGTGGGTGGGGCTAAAGAGGTTTACTTTCAGTCTCTGAAAAGCCTGCAGCATACTGTCTTGTTTAAAAAATAAATCCGTAGCAAAGTCAAGCAAGCAACCAGTGTTTCACTGACGCGATCTGGAGCTCTTTGCTAATTTTACCGTTTACACCGGACGCGAGCGGCGCAACGTGACTATAGACAACAGAACCCATTATAATCTGCGATTCTGTCTACACTGGATGCGGCACGGCACGGATTGACACAACAAACCCCCGACAGTAAACTGATGTCCCGCTCTATTTCTGACATACAAACATTCGCGCCGCTTCTGACCTGAAAGACAAATTGATTCGCGACATGACGCAACAACGCTCACGTCCAATCTAAATACGGTGTTAGGATCACAAGGAAGACAATTCAAATAATATTTTTCACAACTTACATTACACAGTGTCTTGTAAACTTGTAAACTTGTAATGTCATATGTATGGTACTGTTGGAGTAATTCTGTGTTTGCGTCTGTCTAGTATTTCCTCTCCTCCTCCTACAAGCGTGTATCAGTGGGTGGGGCTAAAGAGGCAGTGATGTAGAAGCAGGCGTTGATCTTCTCCTGCGGAAGTGGTGCTTAGACACACTATTACGTCATAAAGTGGCACATTCCAAAATGAGTCGTTTTCTGGGTTTGGTTTCAATAACTTTGGCTAAAAACTTTTGTTTTTAACGAGAAAGTTTCGAGTTTTGAAACTTACAGGATGATTTTTATAGTACCATTGACCTGTAATATGTCAAAAGATCAAGAGAAATTTGATTTCTGACCTCTTTAATGGTAATTTAATTAATCTTTTATGTGCAGTTGCTGTTTGTTAAATCCTTATTTTCAGTAGGCTTATATACTTTTTTAGTGTTTTTGGCACATTCTTTAGACTTGTAGGTGCCCTTTATTACATTTTTATTTATTTTATTTTTTTCTTTCATGGTGTTTACTTTCAGTCTTTGCCCTCCTGAGTGAAAAGGAATATTTTATATAAAATTATGTGAACAAACGTCTTGGTTCATAATGTCAGTCTCAAAAATACCAGCTCTGTACTCATATCTGACTGATATATGCAAGACTGCATTGTAGTGTATGTTAAAGCTGCTTGACTTGAAATGAAGAGGATAAGATGTGTTGTACATTCTTATTTTATTACATTTTTTTAAGCACTTCACAGCAAAATTCAATATTGCATATGCTTCTCATTTATTGAAGGTGATAGTGATATTTTGTGCTATCATCTTCAGAAAGACTTTACTCTCCTGGTTTTGGGTACAGAGGTACATTTCTAACTTTTCCCCACACATTTATTTACATTATGATTGGTTTGACAGAATAATGCCTTTTTGTTAAAGGCTGATTGGTGTTTTTTCTCCACAAGCCATGTGAAATTGATCAAGCTTAGCCCCATGGCTGATTTTAATGATCTACCTGAAATGTAAAAGGTGTATTTTTATGAAAGATAAGTGACATTTCCTGTCCTCTTATGATAATGAACTAAGGAATAAATTGGAAAAAGAAATTGTCTGCCTTAGTTTTTCTATTGTCACATGATTCTATTATGATGGAATATTATGTATTGTGTGATGAAAGTAAAAAAAGAGAGGTCACAAACTCCATAAAAAGAAATGAGTGCACTTTGATCCTTTTGAGCAGGAGCAGATGTGGCCATGCTGAGAATATGTCATAGCAGAACAGAACTTTGCTGTGTTACACTGTGGAGAGGAAGAAAAGGACAAATGGTAAGAAATACGTATCAACTTCACACCTCGTGTTTTTGCTCAAGTTTTCAGATTGACTTGAACCCAGAGTTTCCTACCCTGCAAAACCCTATAGGGACTTGGAATTGTATAATTTGATTTAAAAAAAAAAAAAGTTTAAGCACTTAAAGTAAAGAATTTGCAGTCAAAGTGTTCAACTTCTACTACAAGCCTTTGTTTTTGTTTTTGTTTTTTTGTGGTCTACCTTTTTATGTTCACCCAGAAATGAAAATGTTTTGTATTCAAGTTCCAAAGCTGTATGAATTAATTTCTTCTGTTGAATACAAAAGATGGTATTTTAAAGAATGTTGCTAACCAAACAGTTGCAGGTTGACATCCTAAGTATTTTTCCATACTATGGAAGTAAGTGGCTGCAACCAACTGTGGATACAAACATTGTTCAAAATATCTTCTTTTTTTTCTCTGTTGAACAGAACAAAGAATCTCATACACGTTTGAAACAGAGGGTGATGACACAAGTTATTATTTATTGAGTGAACTAGGCCTATACCTTTAATTCCAAACTTTTGCTTGAGTTATATGACTTTCATGCAGATTATACACGACAGTCGTGTTTGTACCAGTATACAGACTAATAATAAGCAAAAAAAATAAGTACCAGAACTGTTATCCTCCTCCTTTTCAGACGTCTGCATACGCCTGGAAGACGGTTGAACTTTCTCTTCAAAATTGGCACTAGCTGTCTTTGAAGGTTTTCTTTATATTCTGTCACAGCTCTTGTCTGTAATAAACAGTAAGTTTTCCGATTATCCAACGATCTGTAGAATAAAATGCACTCGCGCAATATTTCAACTCACCGCTTCTGTCGCGTCGTCAGTGAACGGTCTGGACGGTTCGTAGTCTGGCGGTCTTGAATCCACGCCACTGAGTTTAGAATACATGTATACAGCACAGTGAAGCGCTACGAGAAGTATAGATAAATTTGACATTATATTTGTATTATAGTCACGTAGGAGTGCTTCTAGTAGCGAGGGGTCCGGCACGAGTTTTCACGCAAAGACTTGTGGAACTTAATAGGTCTTACCTGCTTCTGCGTCACATGAGGTGATTGATCCCCCCTGCTGATCGACTGAAGAGCGGGATGATGAGATTTTCCAGGATTTATCAAGGCCATTATATGTAGATTTCCCTTCCCTTTGCGACATTTACTTGACTTTATGTAATGGTGATTGGTGGCCACATTATAACCCGTGGACAGATCTCGCAGTAGCCTAATCCTCTTTGTTTCAAAAGCCTCGTTCAAAAGAGGATTTAAGAAGCAGAATGCGTCTGGATCTAGATCCGGGCTTTTCAACCAGGGATCTGCTTGCATTATGTAGGCTAATGTAGGCTAGTTCTTCTTATTGTAAAGCGTTTCTGAGAAAATGTATATCTTTGTTAAAATATACATATATAATTAAAGTATCAATAATTTTTACATATAGCCTAAACGTACGTTTCAGTATAACCACAAAAGTTATCTTACAAGTTAAACACTAACAAGTAACCATAGCAACTGTACGCTGCTCGAGCGCTTTCCGATCGGTATCGGACTGTAAAACATAAATATATATATATATATATATATATAGCATTGTCACTGCATTATAACAAATATAATCACAAAATTTAAGATTAATTTTGGATGCGCGAGAAGAACCTCAACAGATTGCGCACCAATTACTGACATTTAAACAGTTAAACCACTGAAAGCCTTAATTATAAGACTCACTAGAATCCAATGATTAATGATTATTCAAATCGGGATTTTAGTTGTTGATCATGACACTTTGTTCATCATCATTGATCGCACCCATTATGCCTGTAATAATACGCCTCAGTTCAGATCTTGTTCTAACAGTTATACGGTTTTAGTTAAATTATAAACGCACAGACAATGTATACATACTTTTCATTTAGACAATATTCAGAACGAATGAGTCTTAAATACATTTCATTAACTTAAAATAAACACGTTTAATCATATAAACATGTAGTGTAAGTTATGTAGTAGGCTACAGGTTACGAACAATAGAACAGTATCAATACATCACCCATGTAATTTCACGCATATAATTAAACCGTTAAATAGATGAGGTGTCCCAAGCATTTCTGTCACGAGTTTCTAAACACAGTGCCTGAGAGAGAAGAGAGTTGCGCGAGCTCCATCAGTAGCAGCGCAAGAAGAAAGTATTGCAGGCTGTTCCTCGCATGCAATCACACAGTCGCCCGATGCGCGGTCCGTGCTTCATGGCGCAGCGCTCCCCCACCTCACACTAACAAACATGGTGCATCGCATTAGATATTTTTCTAGTCAGCCTCTTTTACTTGATGATAAACGCTATTTCAAAGGGAAAAATAAGAGGAATGTCTTTACCCTGGGAATGACGCTAGCTTTTTTCTCCACAGATATCCGATTGTCCTGATCTCCATCCAAAAGTTCATCGAGCGCCTCAGCCTAAACACAAACGGCGAGAAAGCAAGTCCGAAGATATATAGATTAGAAAAACAATTATTTAAAGATACGTTTCTGAGATAGTCTGATATTTTATCCAAGTAAATCGTATTGTGAACATTATAGTTGCATCAAATTTCACGCGACTTTCATAGTGACGAACATATAGCTTCACTTAAAATACCTGAACCCATGCAAGTGAACTCAGTCCTGAATTTTTATTTATTTTTTGCTCGTCACATAGGCCTACTGTTTTTCTGATGTTGCGCAAACTTTTTTTTCATCAACAGGTTGAAAATGTATTTGTTGAGCTATGCCATATGACACTCTCACTTATTCTCTTACCAGGTCTCTTTTGATGAACTGCTCGTCTTGTGCGGTCACTCGGTTGTCCAGTGACATCTGACCCCTGCAGACGCACAGTAGCGAGAGGAAAACGCTCAGGTAAACCGCCGCGCGGACGCTGTCCATGGTGCTGAATGCTTTGGCGTTTGTAAGGTAAAGCTGAGATTTAATATGCAAAATCCTTTTTAATACTATTTTCTGTTCTAGCGATACCAGCGTTGAAAGTTTTTCTCGGCGCTTGTGCTCTTGCTGCCGCTTTCTATTGCTTCACTGGGTTGCTGGGAAACTTTCTCTATTTATACAATGTTCCTGCTACCTGATGTATTCACGTAACGTCACTACACCCGTATTCAGTTGGCTGCTTTTTTAAGAACCAGCTGGGAGTCAGTTTGAATCAAAGATGGTATCGCTTTGACATCCGTGCAATTTAAATCCGCTGAAAATTTGTATAATTTATTTATGCAATTGTTTGATTGTTTGACATGACTCTTCAATTTTAAAAAAACAAAACAAATAACACAAAGAGTTTTTTTTTGGCAAGAATAACATAGAAGAACTGTTTTAGGTTCCTTGAAAAAACTTTCAGTGAGCAATTCTTAAAATAAACGTTTTTATAATCTCAATAAAACATTTTCACTATAAATTGCCATTTTTAAGACCATTTTAAGAGTGTAGAGTGAATTTACGTAAACTGGGCAACCTTGTGACATTATTAAGATTACCTGTAAGATCATAAAGTACAGTATGTCTTTATATTCCATTCTCACTATTTAAAAAAATGCATGACTCCTTAAGCATGTCTTTCATTCTAAAATTTTATCTTAGCATTTTCTCTGTTTATTTTTTTATCAAAAATTCTGTGAACCTCTAACAATAGTGAGTACAATAGTTAGAATCGACAATAGTAAATGTGTGCAGTAAAACATTAGCATTAATGAAAGGGTTTTTGATGAAAGGTTTTATGGATCACCTCTCTGAGTGGGCAGTCAATTCCACTGATGCCAGGAAGGTTACACACCTCTAGTTGGCAACGGCTGTTCACCAATATATTCAACATGTAATTATTTATATATATATATATATATATATATATATATATATATATATATAAATAAATAACAGTCATTGCTCATGTATATTCACACATAGAATATTATCTGTGTCCAGGTGTCACATTGGTTTGTGACCTACATTTCACAGTGCTGAAGATGCCATCAGATATGTTGTTATTCATTGAATATCTGCTGTATGTCTATGACCTATATCTCATCTGTCAATGCTCTTTAGAATAAAAATGGATCAATTTTCATCCAACAATGCCTTGTTCTGACCTTTGTATGCCAAAGTTTACTCAAAAAGTGTGAAATGTTCTGTGTTTGACAACACTGTTTTTTTTCCGAGTAGGGATGCAGTATGTGAGTATTTTGGCATCTTGAATGGAGAGAATGTTTAGAACTGTAAAAAGTGATGTGAAGAAATGACAGAAGAGTTATTATCCAACATCACAAGCTTAGATGTTTAAATGTGATGTGAAAAGAAACAGAATGCATCTTATATTTGATACTTTCTCTGAATCTTTTATCTCTTAAATTGACTATGTAATTATTTTATTAAATGTAGTCTTGCCTTTTGCCCGTTTATTATTTTAAATCTCTTTTCAAATAATTACCTGGCAAATATGAACTGAAGGATCAAGCATAGCTAATAATTACATCAAAACAGAAATATGATGCAAAAATTATAGGTCATTTTTTTTATCTCACAGTTCAAGTATTTAATGTATTCTAAGTATTCTAAGAATTCTCCTAATTCATTCACATTATTTCACTCTGGGTGTTTTTCCCATAATGTCCTGAGCAGACCATGACAGGATGAAGATAGCTTCTCGACAATGTCTTACATTCTGATTAGGTGCGGTCAGATGTCTGACATTTTCACCACCTCACTGTGTCTCATTTCTCT